TATTTAGTGTTCTTAGCTGCTGCTTTGAGCCCCTAGGCAGGAAGAGGGATCTATTTTTGGCCTCCCCAACACTTACTGTATCTGATACATGTTTGTTGAATGAATGAATGAATGATACATGGATTGTTTTTGAAATTACAGCCGTAAGGATAGTAAAATTTAACTGGCTGTGTATTTAGATAATGTTGAGTTCTTCATTTGGAGTATACTTTGTATCTTCTTTTGGATTTGTTCTTCCAGTTATAGGCTCATCCTGTCTTGTCAGTTCTTGTGCCCTCCTGTCTTTCCCCATTCAGTAATCAGTCCTAAAGGACAGTGAAACTGCCTAGAACTAGGATCTGAAGTTTTGGCAGGAAGCCCTTCAGAGTTGGTGATCTGAGTAGTGTCTTTGCCAGCTGGAGCTTAGAACAAAGAAACTAAACAAACTCTTGGCAGATTCTGAAATACAGCTTTTTGCTTCTTCAGAAATTGTGATTCTAGTCAGTTGATGCTTAGAAATGTGCACAGAACTCAGAATCCAGCAACCATGAATTGCAGTCACTTTTGATGCCTGCAGTACTTCACTAATTATTGAATTTGTAGCCTGTTCATTGGAATTATAGTCTAATAGAATTTTGGAGCTAGAAAAGTCTGTTCATTTGCGATAATTTCACCCATTTCCCTAATTGTATAGGTGAGGAAAATTAAGATCATGTTTCTAGTTGATGATACCTTTGGGCTCTGGTCTCCTTATGCTTGGTCTAGTTCATTTCCTGTTTACCAACATCTGTCTGAGTTATTAGGGAATGGCAGTGCTAGAATCATGCTTAGAGGAATAATACATTTTTCCCCTTGATCTCCTACAAGCCTAAATGTCTTGAGCCTGAGACTGGTAATTTACCGGAAGCTTTTTGTGCAAGTTACGCAATTATCTATCTCTTGTGTATTTTTGAAATGAGAAAATGACAAGCAAGTTTACGATAAGGATATTAAGTTTTAAAAATATTTTATAAGTAATAGATGAATGTGATTAAAAGTGCAAAGGGCTTCCAGTGAAAAAGTGCAAAGGGCTCCCAGTGAAAAGTGATACTCCTCCCACCTGGTTTTCCTTTCTCCACCCCAGAAGCCATGCGTTTCTTAGGTATTCTTCCAAAGGAACCTCCCCACCCCTTGCTTTTCTGAAGAATTAAAATTCTCAGTCATTAGTGAACATTTTTTCTTTATGGAATGCTCATGAAAATAGTGGTTAATAAATTTACTGGTACTAAAAATGTCTTTTATCAATTTTAGCTTTGATTTCTGAGTGATTTACTAGAAGGATTTCTTAGTTTTTCCCCAGCATTTTATTATGGTCACTTTCAAACACATAGCAAGATTGAAAGAAGTCTACCATGGATACCTGAATCCCAACCACTAAGGTTCTACCATTATCATTTTACTGTATTTGCATTATTACATATTTATGTGTTTGTGCATCTGTCCATTCCTCAGTTCATTCAGAACTCCTCATCAGGACTGTCTGGTTATAGAAACAACCATGGATAGAATTTGCTGCTTTTGCCACAGAAGCAAATGAAAGGCTAGAGAATGGAGAGAAATGACATGGTCCATGATTTAAACTGGGAATATATTTTTCTGTTGTTTTTTAGAAAAGATAAGGAGTGGTAAAACATAGTAACTCACTTATATTATGGATTAAGTTGGTTTAGTGGCTGGTCAAGAGCCTAACCACTTCTTTTGATGTTTCATTCTCAATTACTTCTACATAGGTCTTCCTTCAGGTAAATCAAGCTATATTTGATGTTTAACAGAGAAGTTTGTTGAGATGTGTACTTTTCCAGTCCTCCAAAGAAAAACTATATTGATTTTGATATGGAATGGTGAGGACAATTATGTTTTAGTATTTTAGTCTTCTCCCTTGGACAAAGTAAGTTTCTGGAGACTGTGCATTAAGACCTTAATGTGCCAGGAGTGGTGGCTCACGCCTGTAATCCCAGCACTTTGGGAGGCAGAGGCAGGCAGATCACGAGGTCAGGAGATGGAGACCATCCTGGCTAACACGGTGAAACCCCATCTCTACTACAAATACAAAAAGATTAGCCAGGCATAGTGGCGGGCGCCTGTAGTCCCAGCTACTGGAGAGGCTGAGGCAGGAGAATGGCGTGAACCTGGGAGGCGGAGCTTGCAGTGAGCCACTGCCCTCCAGCCTGGGCGACAGAGCGAGACTCCGTCTCAAAAATAAATAAATAAATAAGACCTTAATGTATAGATTGCTAACAGGAGAATAAACATTTTTTATAATTAACAATAAGAACGTTAATCCTCTTAAACATTATTTGATTTTCCTAAAAGCCAAGTGAAAAACAGATACAGATGCTTCTCAACTCACTTAGAACAATGTCCTGATTAAACTTATCATAAGTTGAAAGTATTTTAAGTCAAAAATGCATTTAATACACCCAACGTACCCAATATCATAAGCTTAGCCCAGCCTACCTTAACCATGCTCAGAACGCTTACATTAGCGTATAGTTGTGCAAAGTTATCTAACACAAAAGCTTACTTTACAGTAAAGTGTTGAATATCTCATATAATTTCTTGAATACTGTAGTGGAAATGAAAAGCAATGGTTGTATGGGTACCATCGTCAAGTCAGAAAATCAAGCTGACCCATCCTAAGTCAGGACTGTCTGTATTTGAAATGTCGAATAGGAATGAGATTTGGTGAATATGGTTTGAAATACATTGCCAGTTTGTTCTGATGGGGAATGGAGAAAGGAAGATAAAACACCTGATAGAAAAATGTCACCCACAGTCCTTTTACTTTGAAAATGATAAACAGTGTTAACATTTTATCCTTTCAGCCTTTATTCCCTACTAATGTTTAAACAAAATTAGGATAACCATGTACACGCTGTTTTACAACCTGCTCCCCCCTTTATGTTAAATAATTTTTCCCATTTGATTAACATCATCTTACAAAATGGAAAACTGTATTCATTAAGACCTTAGAGAGGATGATTAACTTTCATACCACAGAGTGTGTTATCAAGGAGAGTTAAGTGCATGTTATCACATCACTTGCGGTTTGGACTGATAGGAAAAAGATTAAAAAGGCAGTAAAACAATGTCGCTGGTTAATGAAATAGATCAAGAAAAGCTGAGCTGAGAGCTATGCAGGCAGTTCTCATTCTTAATATCAGCTGAGATTGGACAAACTGGCAACTATTGCAGATACTTTTATCATGTATACGTTAGTGGGACTGTTGATGTTTAGCTGATTTACTCATACTATTGTTGCTTCTCATGGATGGAAGAATTTTTTTTTTAATGCGTTATCCCGGTCAATGTTTGTTTAAAAAAAACAAAAACAAAAAAAACAGCTTTGTTTCCCGTAGAGGTCTCATTAAAGGGAGGTTTTGCTGCACTGGAAGATTGAAACAAAACGCTGGTGAGGTTGGCAGTTCTTATCTATGGGAGTGAACAGAGAGATCCTTTCTCTCTCCTCTCTCATTCATCTGGCAGGATAGTTAATCTAGTTGCTTTGAATTTAGGGAAGCAGGCTTTCTTTGTAGGGACTTACTTTCTAAAATGGCATTCATCTTCAATTAAAGTCGCTGTGGGAAAGGAGAGATTGGGCCCATGGCACCTTGATAGGCGTATTCTCATGATGCTAATAACAGCAGTAAGAGAAGACAGACCTCACTTATGAAATAGGCATTATATGGTGTGACTAGTGGTCTGAGAGTGTCATGCTTAGCCTTCTCCCATTTTACTTTACCTTTTGATAACTCTGAAGAATCTTTTTAAAATTTACTTGTAAATACATTTTAGGAGTCCCAATTTCGTAAAATGGTAACGTTAAGAGAGACTGAAATATTTTAAGTCTCCAAGAGCAGTTAACCCCATTTAAAAGAAGTTTATTTTGAATTCTTTACTGCTGATTCCTTAGATCAAGCTTGTCCAACCCGTGGTTCACAGGTCGCATGCGGCCCAACACAAATTCATAAATTTTCCTAAAACATTAGGAGATGGGGTTTTTTTTGTGATTTTTTTTTTTTTTTTTTTTTTTT